AATCATTTAATACTAGTGACCTATGCTATTTAATATGCATGGCCCCTCCTTTATCCCTCAGATAATCTAATTTAAATACATCATTTAACAATAGTGACCTGCGAGTAATAAGATTAATGCTGTAGATGGCGCCGTGGCAAGAGCTCTGGTGTGTGCCGTCTGGAGGACGCTGGGGTAGTCTTGCAATTTTTCCAACGTGGTTTTACTGCAAGTGGCAAAACATGAATCTGAATTAATGCACATTGCTCCTCTTACATCCCTCAGACAAAAAGATTAATGCCATTTAATATGCATTGTCCCTCAGTTAGCTCGAACACATGTGAAACGGAGCCTGCAGACCAAGCACGGGGCAAAAACTGACGCCTGCAGTCAAGTGCGCGGGGCAAAAACCAACCGCCTGCAGCCCAGACTCAGAGAACAAACCGTCCGCGGTCAGCACACTCACCACCACACATGCCAGAAGACGTGGGGAAAGCAACGGGACAACGCGGCACCGCCAATCGGAGGCAGGGACACGCACGGCACCGCCAGACCGTCTGCACGCAGCAGCAGACCACGAGAAGACGAGCAGCATAGAGCCCGCGGAGGGACCCCGCGGAGCAGCCCGCAGAAAGAGCCCGCAGAGGAGGAGAGCGGCGGAGACACGCGAACCACAGCGCGCGACCCCCAGCAGGTGCAGGGACGCGGAGGAGGAGCAGACCACAAGCAGCCAGACTGAGAACAGCCGGGCCACGCGCACGAGCAACACGTGAGCAGAAAGTGACCCCTCCAGAACAACGCATGCATTTGCGAACAGGTGCGTTAGCGACATACACCTTGCAGACTTCAGAAGGCCGGGAAGTGGGCGTCTCCGGCTTTTAACTTGCTGTCCTGGTGGTTATTGGTTGATTGGATGTGGGCGTTGCTGGTCTGATGAGCCGAGGATGAGCAGGCTTGTAGATCTGGGCAGCCGCGGCCGGGTCTACCACAGTGAACTTTTGCGAAAGCTCCATCTTTCTGATTGGCTGAAATCGGTCCCTGTGGCAGAACCTACCTACGAATAAAATACTCGCGCCCGGGAGAATTAAGACGCACAATGGGGCTGGAAAGTCTCGTCCCAGAAGCACTTCCGGTTCATTGCTCGGATACAAACAAACCGTCAGCTGTTCGAAGAGGCGGTTTAAATGAATGGTGCAAAATGCTCTGCTTTGTTTTCGGCTGTTATCAAAGTTTACATGAAGCATGCTCATTTTTTAGGTTTCCCAAAGACCAACTGAAGCTGTGTAAAAAGCTATGCAGTTGTGATAAAACCTTTTGTCTGATTTTACAGATGGTTAACTTGAATATGTATTCAAGCTAACTTGTAGCCAATGCTAATCTGTAGTGCGCTGCCGAGCCTTTCATTGTGGCTTGTATTTTAAGATAAGATTAACTTTATTGTTGTCACACAGGATAAATGTATTTATTTATTTGAGAGATAAAGGAGGAACATATTAGCACATATTAAATAACATTTAACAAATGTTCAAATATAAACAGAAAACGGACAATCATAATATTAGTTAGTAGTAAATTAATGGGTAACCCAACTACATCATGTTATTTTTGACAGCACAGCGAAAAGAAAAAGGGCCCAATGTGAAGCTGCAGTGAGTGTGAAGTGGAGATGGAGCTAATATACACATAGAAAACTGATCATTCAAAAACATTGGCTCATAACCAACGCAGCAAAGATAGCTGTAAGGGACATCAATGTATTTGCATGGGAATAGTGTTTCTATATTGTCTTTCTGATGCATAATAGTGGATTAAAAAACAATACGTTTTAACACGGCCACTCAGTTTTTCTGTCCCAGAGACGAAATGTGTCCAAAATAACACAGGAAAGTCCTTTAAGGAGGAAGAAGTCGACGATCTCAGCACCATACAAGTGGCACGTGTGGTTTGTTTGTATCAGCGGGTGGAAATCTCGCAAAATCTCGCACTTCCGCTTTCCAGCCCTATGGCAGATTTAGAGGCTTTTGCTGACATAATAACACGTTGTTTTGAAAGCGGCCAAACGCATGCCGAAATATCAACCTCCTTACAGCAACTCGGTCTGTCAAAATGTTCCGTAATGTCCGTAAGAAGGTTCTGTTTGAACCACCAGCTGCAACGAAAACGACATGTGACAGACGCTCAGCTTGAAATTGCGATCACGTCGTCCATAGAGAAGGTATTGCTGATTTTTGCTCCACATGTGTGTTTCACATTTTAATATAGCTAATTTACATGGGTTAAACAATGAAATTGTCTGGGGTGTTGATAGACAGGCCCATCCTATGGACGCAAGTTCATGACCGGCTATCTGTCATCAGTTGGGGAGAGAGCAAGATTCTGAGGGAGGTACACCAGCCATACAACGAGTTACGTCGTCGGGTAAGCCTCTAATAACTTTATTTAAAAACATAGCTAAATGAACACGTCTGTGTTTATTTATCTATGTATTTTGTTATATAATTGTGACTGTAGGGGGCAAAGTTGAGCATTTACACTTATTTGGCAATGAGCAGAACTTTGTAGTGTGGGAATTGACAAAAAATAATAATGGTGAGTAGAACAGTACTACCCAGATATGAATTTATGTGCATGCATATAGAAGCTAAATATTTTCGTCCAAACTGTACACTGTAGTACATTAAAATGCAGCGCCCCTGCAGTCACAACCTTTCATCTTGTGTAAAAATACTACAGTAAATATATATTTTTCAATTTTTTTAACTGATGACATGTGTTATGTTGTATCTGTTTAGGGTGCAAGAAATTTAAATCCTGTTCCATATTATGCTGGATACATGGGACACAAATTGCATATAGATCAAAATGAAAAACTAGGAATGTTTGCAATTGATGGTTTCAGCAGTAAAATTGTTGCTCAAGCCACAATGCCCGTGAAGAACAACCTAGTAATTTATGACCAGGTTTACAGGTTAGTTTAATTTAACAAATCTACATTACATTTTTACAAAGGCCAGATGGAGTCACGGTTGTTAATGCTTTAAAATGCCAACAGGTTTACAGACAGCTCAAAAAGTAGTAGTATATTGTAAATGTATATTAAACACCATTGTTTTTCAGAGCGGCAGTTGAAACCCATGGGATGTGGGACCAACTCAGAGTGGATCATGGTCGTGAATTTTACCTCACTCTTTATGTGCAAGACAAGCTTTCACGGCACAGATACAACAGAAGCAGACCACCTTATGTACAAACAACCTCTTCAAGGGTAAACAGTTATATTCAATGACCCTTGTGCAAGTTTTCATAATCTGATGAAGTTCAGTTTAGTTCTGACTTAATCCTGGTTTAGACCTTGTTTTGTCCTGGTTTAGCCCAGGTTAGTCCTGTTCAAGACCAGGTTTCAATTCAATTCAATTATTTTATTTGAGCAATAAATTATGTTATATTATGAAATGTTATTAACATATGAACATAATTTCCAAAATGTTACACTCAATATACGGACTCAAAGGTTTAGTAACTAACTCTTAACTAATTTAGACCCTGTTCTAGTTTGGAACTGGTTTAGACCTGGTGTAGAGCATAGTGGGCTGACTTTGTGTGTATGACATAAAATGTTTTTATTTTGAACAGAATCTTCGTGTGGAAAGAATCTGGCCAGAGGTCAATAACCGAGTGAACTATCCACTTAAAAGAGTATTGGTTCACCTTCAGGACCAAGAGATGCTGAGTTTGGAGGATAATACAACAAAATGTTGTGTGTCCAACCTGGTATGTCAAGTGAGCCAAATTGGATTGGGCAGAGTCGTACAGTCCTGGAATGCCCATAGAATACCACGTATGATATTAAGCAATAGCATGTAACATATCGAACTGACTCATTTACTATGTAAATATCAAATTGAATTTTAGGCAGAGGGATACCGAACCAACTTGCAGCAGCTGGTTGCCCCTCTAGAATCCCAATTGAGTTGATGGCTGATGCTTCTGAGGCAGCACACATGTATGAGCAGGAACTGGGGTCTTCTCTCACCTGGGTATCTTCCTTCGGACAAGATCCATTTTCATCTGAGCAAGATAGATGCCATGCAGAGCAACTATTTGGACAAACCTTTCCTAACATCGCTGTACTGTTTGATGACGCTGTAAACTACGAACACAGACAATTTTAAGAGGCGCTGTTTTATCTTATAAATGTAACAGACAGGTATGCTTAAGTATTTGATTATCCTGTGCAATAGTTAAATGTTTGTTTGGTACAATGTTTTAAGTACAAAAGTAAAAGGCACAGTGCTAAAACTGCTGTGTCATTTTTACATTGCCTTATTTTAGTAACTGAGTGTGGCATGGGGACCACTATTAGTATGACATTTAAGTGATACTCGGGAGTAGTTCATTTATAGTGTTTGACTGAGGTTCAGGTAGTTTCTGATATTTATCATGTTCAGACCACTGAGTGATACAGTATCATACATACGTTCTCTAGTTCAGACTCTTAGACCTGCTTGTAAGTTGATTAAATTTGTTCTTGTAGTGTAACGTTTGAGAAATAGGCTATTTCTTTTAAGACATTAATAGTTTTATTACACTGAAGTATAACTTTTTTTAACATTATTGAACACTTAACCACAGTATGTATTGTAACAAACTTGAATACAGTATGTAAACAATCCAACAGGATTCAAATTAGCTAGTTCACATGTCATTGCAATGAAAAGTGCAATTTTAACAGCAGCTTTAACATGGTTTATAAAAGAATGACAACAAACATGGTGCCAATGAATGATCATTAAATATGAATGTACTTGCTCAATTATTTGCTTTAGTTTTTTATTGATCACTTTTAAACAGTAATTTGAACATTCAACAATCTATGTCACTTTAAAATAGGCAACTATAACAGCTTTTCAAGTGGTGCGAGTGCTTGATCCAGTCCTGCCACATCATGAATACTGCTCTCCAAGTCATCAGCTCGACACTTTGGGCAGTAATCATGGCTCTGCTTCCACTCCTCAACACATCTACTGCAACCAATGAAGCTTCTGCAGCATGTTGAGAAGACTGGTTTGTTCAGAGGACCTTTAAATAAATACGTGTTAAACAGACTTAACTTACTGTAATCCTGTACAGCAACAGATTGTAGTCAGTATTTACAAACCTTTGCAGATCAAACAGGAAAATCCAGCCCTTATAGATGCTATTTCGGTCTCTGATAGGGTCAATGTTGTTGTAAGGGTGGCATGTGCCTGACCACTCAAACCCTTGATCATTTTAGAAACGTCCTTCAGTCCTTGCGCTGCTTCAATTATCTCCTCTATATCAGACATGACATCCTGAAATCCCATCTCCTCCCTTCGACTGCAAAATAAATTAAAACTATAAACATAATTGTGTATGTATAAATAGATAAATTACAATGACTACTGCAATTACCTTACTCGCCTCCTTTTACTGCCCTGTAGTGTTGCTACTTGTTCCTCTGGCACTGCAAAAACTTTCCTTGCATTTTGCTTCCAGAAAGTTGACCCTGCGATAGATTTTTTCTTTCATGAAATATTTACAATAAAATGCACATAAATGTAAATTATATGTGAACTTAATTATAAATTAAATGTGTAATGCACTCTATGTAATGATTACTGTAACAAAAAAGTAACCAATCTTACCTCTAGTGCCTTCGGAGTCAATAATCTTATTGCCCTGGCTATCAGTCAATGTGATTGACTCCTGCTGACCAAGAGCCTCTTTCACTTTACTGAGGATCGTTGACACGCAAGCCTCAAACTCTGAAAAGCGCACGGTGACCATCTTGCTGGTCTCCAACTTTCCACTCATTACCTCGGCAATATAGATATTCCTTGATAAAATAAAGTAAAATACAGTCAGTTGACATAAACAAGAGAAATAGACATGTTAAGGGCACAAATAGTTTTTTAGACAAGAAGAGATGGTTTAGAACTGGTTGCGACCCAGTTTAACCCTTTTTAGATCAAGTTTTGACCATGCTGAGACTACTTTCTATAGTTCTAGTTTAGTTGTGATTCCCCACAGGTAAATGCAATGTTTGTGCGTGTGTGTGTGTGTCTGTGTGTTACTTATTATTTACTTTATATTTTTATAATAGAAAAAAAACAAAAAAACAAAGACAATTAAAATATATATATATATACAAAACCTCTTTTTTTTTTTTTTTTTTTTTCTTCCTTTCCCCCTCTCTCTTCTCTTCCTCCCTCCCCCTCCTCTCTTCCCTTTTGGTACTGTATGCATTGATTCTGCGCCAAGCATATAGATGGGAATTGGTGGTATGGTGTAAGTTACTTAAGATGGGAAAGGGAAAGAAAAGAAAAAAAAAACACACACAATGACAACAACAACAGAAAAAAAGAAGAAAATAACAGCAATAGCGACAATGGCGATGATGAAGATAATAATTATGACCATACTAGCGTCCTTAACAGTAGCATTATTACTGGCACTCTTCCGACAGCTTTCCTCAATAGTTTGTCTGTGATTGTGTGGTGTATTAAAAAGAAAAATATCTGCGTGAGGTGTTGTGCATTAAAAAGGCATGTGCCTGGGATGCTTGTGGGAAGAGTCCATATATTTATCATACAATGTGTATTAATTAAATTAAACCATATTACTTATTATTGTTGCTTCCTCACCATCACCGTTCCCTATTGCTTATTCTACATATTCAAATATGATATATCTTGTATGTGTAAATACTAATTATATAATTTATAATATTAATAGTTAAGCAGAAACTATACGAACAAAAAAAAAAATAACACAAGTGAGCAAAAATAAAGAGAGAGAGAAAAAAATAAGATAAATCCACAATAATAATCATAATAACAATAATATATAATAATAATATGAAAACTAAATTAACATTAAAATAAAAATGTCATGTCTTCTGACCTAAGAGTTAAGTATACGAAGCAATCCATCGTGTGTGCCCACGGCCCACAGACAGCGAAATGATCCTCCGGCTACTCCCGAGTCCCTAGCTAGCCTAACTAGCTAACTACTTCCGGGTAACTCTGCGTATCAAACAAATTCGCAAAAACTGAGTTTATACGCTTGTTATCCATGTGATCATTTTTCATTTTAATTGACAAATTATAAATTCGAAAAACTGAGCGTTATTCAAGTTTTCGTTTTTGTTTTAAAGCATGAAAAACAAAAAAACAGTGGTTATCCGTTTTTCTTATGTTGGTTTCAAATGGAAAATCAAATGAACGAATGATACACGAATTTATATAGTTAAATTCACCCGTTTCAGCATGTATGAACTTTAAAATGGATTGAAATAGAAAATGAAGTCTATTCAATATGCTAGTGTAGGATTTTTTGTAACTCTTAAAGCTGGGGTCCCTAACTTTAGTTGTTGTTGATGAGAAAGTCTTACACAAGTAAAATGTTGAACCAATCAGACCACAACATTCTGTCTTCCTCTTTTATTTTGAGCCCTGTGAGTCACTATTTGACAGTTTCAGGGGGATGGCTGATTGCCTGAATGAGCGTGGACCTCTCTCTTTCATTTTTCTGTTTGAAAAAGCTGATCTACACATGTGACAGAGGCTACAAAGACAAGCATGTAAAAACTATCAATAGATCTAAACTCAACCAAATTGGACGGGTATCGTTAAAAGTAATTTTGGGGCACTGTACTATCATGTGAAGTGAGCATAGTCTCTCCTCTGAGCATGTTCCTTTTCTGTCTGAAAAAGCTGGTGACAAAAAGGTGTGACAGAGGCCAAAAAGACATGCATGTGAAAATTATTGATAGAACCAAAGTCTCATTTCAGTGGTTTCAAAGTTAGGTAACCCAGTTTTAGCTGAATTATCGCAATCATCAGTCCTGTTTTAACACTTTATTCAAAAGGTGAAGTGTCCTTGGTTCAGCTTGGAAAATATCATTGAAAGTGGAAGAAAATGGTTGAAATGAAATATTACTGCAGTAGAAGTGCACACTAAAACAATCATAGTTTTCTTTTTAGAGAGGACTTTAAAATAATCTGTGGGGTTCAGGCAGGAGCATAAAGACGCAGCAGCGGATAACAAACAGGCACTTGCTAGAGTGGAAAAAAGTATCCAAGATGTTGCGAAACAAATGTCCACACTTGAAAAGCGAACGTCGGAGTTGGAGACGCGAGTGGGGAATACGGAAGACCGCATGACCCAGCTGGAAAAAGCTGTCGTGTATCTCCTCCAAAGTGAAGCTAAGGTGGCGGCTAAATGCAACGAACTAGAGGCAAGAGGGAGGCGAAAGAATATCAGAATACACGGGGTTGAAGAGCGGGCTGAGAAGAACGACGTCGTGGGATTCGTGAAAGAGCTCATACGCTCCAAACTGGATCTGCCAACAGGTCTATGCATAGACATTGAAAGAGCACATCGCATTGGCAGCCTGGGAACGGGGAGCAACACAACTGCCAGAGTTATCATTGTACGCTTTCTGAACTACCAAGTAAAGGAACAAGTAATCCGAGAAGCGTGGAAACAACGGATTGTGTTTGGCGGACAGAACATTTATTTCAACCAAGACTATACAACAGAGGTTCAGAAGAAAAGAAGACGCGTCCGTGACGTCATCAAACAGTTGAAGGAAAGAAATGTGAAGGCACAAATGCTGTATCCAGCGCAACTACGGATCTTCTCGGAGGACGGGACCAACAGGACTGAGACGTTCGCAAGCCTAAAGGACGCGGCCTCGATGCTACGCAACATGGGAATCTCCGTGGTGGAAGAGGACGAGTCTGAATCTGAAAAGATTAGACACGACATCCTAAGTGGCAACTGGACCCTGGTGACATCACAGGGACAGTCGAAAGGGCCAGCGTAAACAACTGAAGAAGAAGAGGAGCCAAAAGAGAGGACATTATCATTTCAAGAGGTAATCCTTCATTAATTAAAGAGACTGGTGAAAAAAGGATACAAAGTAGGAGTCGAAGTAACTTAATCTGAATATATATATATATATATATAAAAAAAAATATATATAAAGTTGGTATTATGCAGGGAAAAATTAGCTCAATTTGAGTATTTTGCAACTTATTGGGGGGTGGGTAGAATTAGAAGTTGCAACTGCACTTAGTGCTATCTCTTGGGGGTAAAGGGTACTCTCAGGGGTAATCTGTGTTTTGGAAGTCAAATAAAGTCACTAAATTTTCGTTATATAGCCTATGTTTTGTTTTAGAGTAAGCACATTAAAAATGGAGTGGTGTACTATGACTGTTATAAATTATGAGGGGATATACATGGACATGAGGGGCATAATGGGGTCTGACATTGAGGTCTTTTACTTTATTCTATGGAAGCTTTAAATTTGGTATCATATAATGTCCATGGTTTAAATAACCCTATTAAGAGGAAGAAAATCCTAAATCAGTTGAAACAACTAAACTGTTCATTAGCATTAATACAGGAAACTCATTTGGGGGATGAAGAACATAAAAAATTAAAGAGAGATTGGGTAAAGGATGTGTTTTTTGCATCATATGGGAAAAGAAGAGGGGTAGCAATATTGGTAAGAAAAGGTATAACACTTGTGGTGGAAAAAGAAATAAAAGATGATAAGGGAAGATATGTAATGGTTATAGGACATATTGGGGACACTGACATCTCCATAATGAACATTTATGCACCTAATGAGGAAGATGAAATTTTTTTTAAAATAATTGCAAATGTAATTGTAAAAGAAGCAAAGGGAATGATGGTTTTGGGAGGTGATTTCAATACGGTACAAAATGGAAAAATTGACAGGTTACCAGCAGAGAGAGGAAATATAACAAAAAGGTCGAAAATGTTAAATAACGTAATAAAGGAACTTGGACTTATAGACCCTTGGAGAATGCAGTGTCCCAAGGAAAAAGAATATACCTTTTATTCGAACGCACATAATAGCTACTCAAGAATAGATTTCTTTTGCATAGGTCGACAGGAATTACATAAAGTAAAAAGCTGTGAAATTGAAAAAATAACAATTAGTGATCATGCCCCGATTAAATTAGCAATTGAGTTAAATAAAGAGTCGTTTTTCAAGTACTGGAGATGTAATGTATCTGTTTTGACAGACGAGACGGTAGTTCAGGAAATAAAACAATGTATACAGCAATACATTGAGATTAATGATAATGGAGAAGTTAACCCTACAACGTTATGGGAATGTGGGAAAGCAGTATTAAGAGGGAAAATGATAGAGATAACATCTAGGATAAAAAAAAATCGAGAGCATCAGCAACAAGAGTTGGAGAAGAAAATTAGAAAATTGGAAAATGAGCATAAAAAAACGCTAAATCACGGTACTTTATTAGAACTTAAAGAAATTAGATCCAAATTAGATCAGTTATTGACTTTTAAAGTAGAAGCGGCGTTAAGATTTGTTAATCAAAATTATTATGAAAAGGGTAATCGAGCAAGTAAGTTACTAGCATATCAACTCAGAAAGAAACAGTCGGACCAGGCAATAACGAAGATACGGCATCCTATTTCTAAGGAGATTAAGGTTAAACCAAAAGAGGTTGCAAAAATATTTGCAGAATATTATGAAGAGCTATACAATGACCAAGAAATACCATCCTTGGAAGAAAAGATGCAACAGTTTATGAACAAATTTAACCTACCAGCACTGACTCCAGAGCAAGCGCTGGAAATGACAGAACAAATTTCTCTCAAGGAAATAGTTGATACAATTAAAAATGTGAAAAACAACAAAAGTCCAGGTACGGACGGATTTCCGGGAGAATTCTATAAATGTTTTCAGGAAGAAATAGCCCCACTACTAAAGAAAGTGTTCAACTATGCCTTGGAATCAGGGAACATTCCAACATCATGGTCAGAAGCTGTCATTTCTGTCTTGCATAAGGAAGGTAAAGACTCTACTTTGTGTGAAAGCTACCGCCCTGTTAGCCTGCTATGTAATGATTTGAAGATTTTAACAAGTATAATGGCAAAAAGAATACAGAAATACATAACAAGGTTGATTAAACCCGATCAGACAGGATTCATACCGGGACGACAGGGCGCTAATAATATTAGGCGAACTTTAAATCTTATGTCCAGTGCAAGAAGGAACACAAATACAAACATGTTATTAAGCTTAGATGCACAAAAAGCATTTGATTGTGTGAAATGGACATATCTATATCACACATTATCAGTGTTTGGGTTCCATTCAACATTCTTTAATTGGGTTAAATTTGTTTATAAAGATACAAAATCCAGGATTAGAGTAAATGGATGCTGCTCCGACTTTTTCTTTCTGAAGAGAGGAGTAAAGCAGGGAGATTGTTTAAGCCCTTTATTATTTGCTTTAAGTATAGAACCGCTCGCCGAATATATTAGGCAAAGTCCAGATATAAAGGGTATCGTAGATGAAGGTAATGTGGAGTCAAAAATATCATTATTCGCAGATGATATCCTCATGTATATAAGTAACCCTGTTGAGACTGTACCCATCCTGAATAACATTTTAAGAGAGTTTGGGGAAATCTCCGGATACTTGAACAATGAATCTAAATCGGTTGCAATGATCATATCTGGAAAATGTCCAGAAGAATTAAAAAAAAAGACTACATTCAAATGGACGGATGAGGGCTTTAGATACCTTGGCATTACTATTACACAAAAGTTATCAAATCTATTTACAGCTAACTATGAGAAATTATTCAAGGAGATTAAAGAAGATTTAGTGAGATGGGAAATCTTGCCCTTGACAATAATGGGAAGAATAGAAGTAATACGGATGAATGTTCTGCCAAGGTTGCTGTTTTTGTTCCAATCCCTACCCATCCAGCTCCCAAAAACAATATTTAAAAGAATTGATCGTATGATCTCAAAATTTATTTGGGGAAATAAAAAGCCACGAGTAAGATATACATTACTACAATGCTCCAAAGAAAAAGGAGGTTTGAATTTGCCTAATATTAAAAGATATTATTGGGCAGCACATTTAAGAATCATAAATATTTGGATAAACAATGAGGAAGAGACGGGATGGAGGGAAATGGAACAAAATTCATGCCCAAAAGTAGAATTACAAAGCCTACCCTTCATTAGAAAGCAAAATCTAAAACAGTTGAAAATAAAAAATGAATGGGTTAAAGGAACAATGGAAATATGGATGGGGATAAAAAAGAAAATGGAAATGTCTAGTTCAATCTGCAGGGCCACTAGAATAGGAAAAAATTGTGATTTTATACCCTCAAATATGGAGATGGGATTTCAAAAGTGGGAATCCAAGGGACTTGTCCATATTGGGCAGCTGTTTGAAGGGGAAAATATGAAATCATTTCAGCAGCTTAAAGACGAATTTAATCTATCAACACATGAATTTTACAAATTTCTACAAATAAGAAACTACCTTAGAAAACATAAAGAATGGGAGTATATATGTAAACAAGAAAATGGAATAGAGAAATTACTGATGACTAAGTTAGAGAATAAAAAGATAATTTCAAAGTTCTATAACGCCCTGCAGGCTGAACAAGACAATAATGTGGACACCAAGTATAGATGGGAAACTGAAAGAAATATTGTAATTTCAAATGAAAATTGGGAGGAATCATTCAAAGGAGGACATCAAATGTTTAGTAGTATGCTATGGAAAGAGTTTGAATGGAAAGTAAAAATGCGATATTTCCTGGTACCATTGCATATTTCAAAATACAGTAAAATGTCTGATAAGTGCTGGAGGGGTTGTGGCCAAGTAGGAGACTATACACACATATTCTGGGACTGCCCTAAACTCAAAGAATACTGGGAAAATGTAAAAAAACAGATAGAAAGAATCGTTAATGTAAAAATTGATTTAGACGTACAACTGTTTTTGTTGGGTATTATCCCCCAAAATATTCCAATAAAAATAAGGAAGATTATTAGGATGTTAATTATAATAGCAAAAAAAATTATTACAGTCTGCTGGCTTGAACCACAACCACCTCGTGCAAAGCAATGTTGGGACAGAATGAAAGATGTGTTAAATATGGAAAAAGTAACTGCAAGGTTAAAGAACAAAATGAAAGAATTTGAGGACCTGTGGCGACCCTCAATGTTGGAGACAATGGAAATGTAATCACCCCACAAAAAGTTTATTTTCTTATTTTTCTTTTGTGATTGTTTCTTATTATTTAACTACGTTCGTGTTTTATCTTATTTTTTATTCTTGGTCCTTGTTTTTCTCTTGTTTTACTGGGTGTAGGTACACACGGGGGAAAGGAAAAAAATAAGAGTGATAAAAACGAGATGAAAAAGTGACAAATGTGGCCATAATATGACGACAATGTGACGATAAAGTGACAAAAATGTGACAACAATGTAACAAAAAATGTGACGATAAAGTGACAAAAATGTGTCGACAATGTAACAAAAAATTTGACGATAAAGTGACAAATGTGACGACAATGTAACAAAAAATGTGACGATAAAGTGACAAAAATGTGACGACAATGTAACAAAAAATTTGACAAAGATGTGACCATAATAGGACGACAAGGTGACGATAACGTGACAAAAATGTGACAAAGATGTGACCATAACGTGACAAAAATGTGACGACAATGTGACAAAAATGTGATAAAGATAGGACCGTAATGTGACAAAAATGTGACTATAACGTGACAAAAATGTGACTATAACGTGACAAAAATGTGACGACAATGTGATGAAAATGTGACGACAACGTGACAAAAATGTGACAAAATGTGGCCGAAATGTGATAAAAAAAAAATGAGACAATAAAAAGAAAAAATAATCTGTGGTTGTGTTGTACATAAAAGAGGCAAGGCAAGGCAAGGCAAGTTTATTTATAAAGCACAATTCATACACAAGGCAATTCAAAGTGCT